AATTAAAGCCAGTGAACGGTTTTATGACGAGAAGTCAGATTGCTTTTGCTTGTATTGCTGCACATTTTGATACATAATCGTACCCGCAAAAATTTGCAAAAAACCTCTGTGGGTGTGGCTATAAACTTCAAGATGAGAGCAATCAGCTGCTTAAGGTCATCAGTAACAGTCATAGTAAATTGATATAATCAGTGGTACTATTTAAAGGTTGATCTTTCAGACAGTTTGGTCCCTTGATTTATATCGTTTATTTCATTTCATTTCACTTCCAACAAGGCAGACTTGGATCTCACTGTATCAACATACATGCAAACGTCATGCCCACAAGTCGTTTTCTCGTGAATCTGCCTACAGAACATGATTTGCCAGGTTCAATCCCAACGCAATAGGAAAGTTTAGTTGTCGCCTCTTGAATTATCTGCAAAATTTCTGAGGCTTACTTCGCTTGATCAAACTTGGATTTGAAGTCTATCTTGTACATCATAATTTAATCAAAACAAGTGATACAATCAGAATGGTATGGCAGGAAGTCCTGACATTTTGCAACATCTCTCGCTCGACGGCAATATACTAATTATCTGAAATATGTAACGACCAAAATTTATATATTTGGTCTGAAATTAGAGTGATCTAACGATAAAATGTGTATTCAATCGATCAAACCACTATGTTATTCTCTATAATGTGCAATATTTATGAGATTCGCTAGAGTTCAGTGATCATATTGCAACACAAATTTTTGCAGTACCATTGTGAAAGCAGATCATATGAAAAAGAACTTTAACTGTGCCATTCAGCTACTGTTCAGTCATATGTAATTCTGGTACAATATAACGTACTAAACTACAAAATTCATTGAATATTATTGAGTACCTGCAAACTAAAATTAATCTCGACACAACTGTGTCAGTCTCTCGCCTGAAAGAAACCTATCAAACGACAAACTTTCCTAACAGACAGTCAGAGAACAACGGTAATCAACTACTCCAAGCCACAACCCTGATTTTAGTTGCACAAGATGCTTTCTTCAGTAGTTCGGCGCCATACGGCACTGAAGGAAATTTGACACAGTAAGACCATTTCCACAGATTCTGTACAAACGATACAAACTTTACCCGAATAACGTAAATCGGGGGTTACGCAATAAATCTGGCATCATGCAGAGAAGTTATAGGAATCATATTTTAGCATTCGTTATTGGTCACGTCAAGCCTATCCGTTACAGCAAGTGCCACAATATTATGGATTTCAAGATTATAACAAGCATTGCTTCAAATAAGAAGCAGGGGATAAGTGTATAATCAGCAATCACAGCTTACTCTGGAAACAATGTAATTATTCGTTGACATTTGGTGCCTTGAAGGTGTCTAGTATCTAGTGTTTTTGGTATAAAAGGATCAAAGTAGTGCTCTGTTTATGTGATGAACAAGGAAAGACTACAGACAGAGTGAGATATCTTATATATATATATATATATATATATATATATATATATATATATATATGCCGAAGAATATGGCTCGGCATTTCCTCAAGGTAAACCTTGGAAAATTACCTTTCTCGCGTTCCCGTAGTAAGCATAAGCAGGCCACCTTCATTATATTCAAATTTCGAGACTCAGTGACAATGGAAATGAGAACAATTGAATCTGAAACATAAAAGATACTTATCATTATTCATCTGTGACTGCTTAGAGGACAAAAGAAGTGGGCTATTGGTCACAGAGTATGCGATAGCCAAGTTAGTAAGGTTATAGTTTCAAAACCCGACAACAATGACACCCATGTGTAAGATATGTACTAAATGATTAACTTTTGTGAATCACTTATACTTATTTAAAATATTTCAAGTAATTACCAGATAACATATTAAAATCTCTGATGAAACTTTAGCAAATTTATATATTTTAATCACCTGTCCAGTTTTAAGCATGTTTGAATGAATTAACATTGAGTATTCACATATTTGTATCCGGGTTGGTAAACTCTAATTCCTGTTTGTAGTTTCCCAGTTACTATTGGTTCCTCAATGTACTATGTAGTATACCTTTTTGTTGCGGACGATAAATTCCCCAAAACTCACATTTGTAATTTTATCGATTAACTTATCGATTAAATCTTTAAATATTTGAATAGCAATCAATTGACGAACTTATTGACGAATGTTTAAAAATTTAAATGACAATATCGATTATATATATTTGTATATATATGTTTTAAATTGTTTTGGTTGGATCGCTCGTTTCTGGTTGTTGCAGAATATATTTCTCATTTCAAGCCTGGACTTCTTCCTCTAATTAGCTGGGCTGTGACGCGTCAATAGTTAGCTTACTGGTCTTGGTCATCGAATCTCGTTCTCGTTCGCAATCTAAGTGAACTCGTTAGCTTCAAACTTAACAGTTTGATTAAATGATATTCTAGTCATTATAGTAACTGTGAAAATTATCATGTAACTATAACGTAATAATTATTTTTGGTAGCATAGTTGATCATATCATAATGAACTAGCTGTTGAGACTATAATTTATGGACGAACCAATCAGGTATAAGATAACAGGTATCAGATTTTGGCGCGAAATTCACTCAGCCATTTGGCTAAATAGAGTATTGGCATTTAAGCTCGTGTGAGTTCGTGATGAAAACACTCAATCTAATTCCTAACCTTAACCATCAACTGTAAATCATAATGTTAATTCCCCATACTGGTTTATAACACTCATTTGGTTCTAGTTATTAGGTGGACACCATCAATGTCATTCCAGCATCGCTCAAACGTCGTCCATAAATTATATTCTCACCAGTAATTCAGTTAGGACTTAGTAAACGATTGCTTGATGTTCGGAGAAAGTGGTTGTGCCAAAATCCCTTCGTACAAAAGTGCTGAAGCAGTTCCACCTTGGTCATCCGGGGGTTAGACGAATGAAATCCATAGCCAGGAGTCATGCATATTGGCCGCTAATAGATCAACACATAACAGAATTGGTTGGAAAATGTATGCGATGCCAGCAAGCGGCAAAAGTTCGACCAGTTTCATGGCCACAACCTGATGATCCTTGGTCCAGGATACACGTCGACTTTGCAGGCCCGATTAAGGGAACCATGTATCTAGTTGTAGTCGACGCCCTTTCGAAATGGCCAGAAATCAAACCCATAATACTGCCAACGACGACTAAAACTATACAAATACTTACAGAAATTTTCTCCCGAAATGGTATACCGGATGTCATTGTAACTGACAACGGTTCACAGTTCACCTCCAGCCAGTTCCAGTCATTTTGTCAACGGCTAGCTATACAGCACTCACGGTCGCCACCATATCACCCGCAGTCAAATGGGCAAGCAGAAAGGTTTGTGGATACGTTTAAAAGGGCTTTGGTTAAGACAAAAGTAGAGGGGACACCAGCGGACGCGTTGCAAAATTTCTTATACGTGTACCGAACAACACCAAATGAGACGTTGCTGGAGCGAAAGTCCCCAGCAGAGATCCTAATGGGAAGGAAATTGAGGACGATCCACAGTCTTATGTGCTCAAGAACCACACCACCACCACCACCTCAGACCAGATCTCAGAAGCTGCTAGCATACGAGGTTGGATGCCCGGTGTTCGCTCGAGACTACAGAGCAAACCACGGTCCTTGGATCGAAGTATATGTGGTTGGAAGATCAGGCCAAGTTATGTACGAGGTAAAGGTGAGAAGAGACATATGGACTAGACACAGAAACCATCTGCGTAAGCAGATAGCCCCAGACCGCCCATCAACAGGAGCAAATCTCCCTCTTATCATCCTGCTTGATACCTTCAACTTACCAGCAGCCCTACCACGAGAAGCTTAACAAGAAGCTGATCTCCGTTCCAGAAGGTGGCCTTTACGACAACGGCGAGCAACGGTCAGGATGCAAGTCGACCCCAGAACAGTGCGCTACTAAAAAGGGGAGGAGTGTTGGAGACGATAAATTCCCCAAAACTCACATTTGTAATTTTATCGATTAACTTATCGATTAAATGTTTAAATATTTGAATAGCAATCAATTGACGAACTTATTGACGAATGTTTAAAAATTTAAATGACAATATCGATTATATATATTTGTATATATATGTTTTAAATTGTTTTGGTTGGATCGCTCGTTTCTGGTTGTTGCAGAATATATTTCTCGTTTCAAGCCTGGACTTCTTCCTCTAATTAGCTGGGCTGTGACGCGTCAATAGTTAGCTCACTGGTCGTTGATCATCGAATCTCGTTCTCGTTCGCAAATTTAAGTGAACTCGTTAAGCTTCTCTTTTTTTCAATCCTAACACTTTTCACATCGGTTTAATAGACAGAAAAAAGTAGGAGGCAGTTACATGAAATCTATAAAGAATTTTAAAACTCCGCAGATTAACTGATTTAGAATGTATAACTTCTAGAGTTTTGAATATTAATATGACTAAGGTGTTTGACCGTTTTATATGGAACGATGAACTTCTCCTTTGGAAAAAGCTGAATTACAAGTAAATTGTTTTCATTATGTGCGCTTATTATTGCATAGCTTCCTTTTTATTGAGACAAGTAATATCAATTTAAATGTTATAATGATCAATGGTTCATTTTTCGCTATTTTTAAATATATCTGTAATGGGGTGGAATTCTTAATATAATGATAAAGTGAAATTTTATATATACGGGTGGGAATTTTTGATAAGTTCATAGATTTACCAATATTTATTTCTGAAAAGTCTTTGAGCCAATGTTTTTGTGTTATATGTTGAAAAAGTGACTAACTACTACGTTGTTAATCTGTTTTTGATTTATTAGTGTTATATCAACAGCTAATATTGACGTTACACAAGATGCATTTTGATGAGATTTAGGCTCTTGTACACTCAAAAAATAATAAGTATCAATATTTACTAAAGTTAAATTTTAAAGCACAAACCTTCTTTCATTATGTAATTTTCAACTGCATAATGTTTTCCAGACAAGAAATATAGAGACAAATTATATACAAAAATACCATATGGAAATTATTTAAGTATATTTTATTAAATAGATAAAATGACTGATAACAAGATAGTTCGTTCTGAAATTAAGTTAAAATCATCGCCTCCCATATATGATAAAGTAAAACGTAAACAGATCATTTAATTCTCTGACCAACCAACAGTCCAAGTAAAAATACACCAATAACTGTTAGACCAAACGATATTTTTTGTGATGAATTTAATGAGCACTGATTTTTCTTCCAAAATAAACAGAAATTGAAAACATACGATTATGGATACAAATAAAAGAAACAAAAGGAATTATCGTAACAGTGCTATCTACATTTTACTAGCTAAAGTATTTTCTTATGATCATCAATGTAACGATTGAATATTAATGGATAATTTTGTGCTTATATTACTCAAATAAAACGGTAAAATAAATGTTTATCATGATAACTGAATATGAATTTGAATTGGAGAAGATAATGCGTATTATACAAAGTTATGAAAAAAAGAATTTCATTCATGTACCTGCACTGAAAATACATTTGAGGAAGATGCTGTCGACTAAAACACTAATATATAAACATACATTAGACAGTTTGTGAACTTTGCTATTATTTCTCGAAGAGTGTTTACTCAATTTCTGATTGTAGGAGAGAACTTGATAGTCTAATTCGGTAACAGAGATTGAAAACAACTACTGAAAATAAATGATAAGCAACCAAACTTCTCTGTACCAAAAGAACTGACCCCATTACTTTATACAGGTCTCAAAACACACAAATTACTATTTCATTTCAGATGGTATTTACCAGTTTATATGTGAGTGGCAACACATACAAACAAGGAACAATTGAAATGTAAAGTTATTGATAATAAAAGATGTACCAAAATGATTTTAGACTCATTCGACAGCACAATTCCAAATCAGTAATGGAATGGTTAAGTTGTGCCACTTCACATTAAAGTAAATTATTGAGATGGCTATTTGAAACAAACGTAGATTAGATTTTTTATCTGTCATTAAGCTATACATTTTTTATAGGAGCTCTAGCCCTCAGAAGATTTCAACCTCTTACATGATTAAAAAATTGATTTTTGCCTAAAATGCTTTCTTAAAATCATCAGTGCAACTTTAATGTCACAATGATACGAAAACTAACCATTCTTGTCATACTTTAATTATTTGATCTTCTACTTTTACTACTAAAATGTCAGTCAGCGCAGACAAACTAACACTAAGCTTGCTAAATGCTCTGATACTAATTCATATCATGACTTTCTTTCTATTATAGTTTTCTACCTTGATTTCACTGTGTATGTAATCTTTCAGTATTTGTGTTATATAAACCATTCACTAATTATTCCCACAGAGACATGTACGATATAAGTTGAGTGAAAGAAACACTACTTTTTTCAATTATTTCTTTTACATGACCCTACACTAATATTAAAAGTTTTACAATTGAATATAATTTCAATGGTTGAGAGCATTAGTCAGTTGATGCTAGACCACCATAGAAAACCTGGAAGCACTGAACGACCGTTTCGTCCTATTGTGGGACTCCTTAGGCAGTGCGCATCCACGATCTCGCCCCCCGCGAGATTCGAACCCAGGACCTATCAGTCTCGTGCGCGAGTGCTTGACCACTAGACCAATGAGCCGGCATATAAAACCAATTAGTTTTGATAATTAACTGATTATGGAATTTTACATTAATTTTAATTTTTGTGTTAGAAAACTGGTTACTGTATTGTTAAGTTAATTCATCATCATCTATTGGTATTGATTTTAGATTTCATTGTAAAACCTATACAATATTAGTGTAATTCCTTAATACGTAATTATTTGAACGGAAATCCTTTATTGTCTGATCTATTATTTATAATTAATTGTAAATAGCATATTTATACGTTATGTGATTTAGTCTATATCAAGTGGATTTCTTCATAGTATTATCATATTACTGTATTATTTCTAAAGGCACAAACATATACTTTTTTCTCTGTTACAACACCTTTAAATAGTCATCATTATTGAATGTATCAATCAATTATTAGACATATGTAATGATTAAATTTATCCGGAGATTTTTCATTGTTGAAAATTTTTAAAAAAGAAATTAAATATATCACTCCAGATTAGTTAATTAGTTTGTACACATCTATCATAACAGTTATAAAAACAAATTAAAATGACTGGGAATACGAGTTACTATCGTGTATCATGGCATAGAACAAAATAAATGATAAATACATTTATGAGATAGACTTAAAACTTTCGTGTAAATAAACGCTTAGAATAAAATATGAGTAATCGATTATTAGAAAATAGAATCAACTTCTTTAACTATACATACAATAATATTCTTATTAGAGGGCGCTTAGTGCAGATTTTAACAATTAGTTGAAGTTAGGCATTGACACCGTTGGATGCTGCCGGCTCAGTGGTCTAATGGTTAAGCGCTCGCGCGCGCGACTGATAGGTCCTGGGTTCGAATCTCACGGAGGGCGGGATCGAAATGCGCACTGTTGAGGAGTTCCATAATAGGACGAAACGGTCGTCCAGTGCTTCCAGATTTTCAATGGTGTTCTAGCTTCAACTGACTCATGATTTTAACTATTGAAATAATAGTCTTACTAAATGATGTAAAACAATGAATAGAGAGAGGGAGAAATAAATGAACGCACTAAACAGTATTTCATTTACTTTAATTTTCTTCTCATCTTCATGTTGCTCATTACAGATATGATCCAATAAATCGAAAAGTGTATTCTGTGATTCATTTATTGACTTATTCGATATCCAATTTAAACTTCGTTTAACTGATTCATGCCAACCGTATAATTTAATAGCACGATCATTTGAATTAATTTTTGAATAAAATGTTGACTGATATTCAACTGATTTATTAGTTGAATATTCTCGGATTTTTAATAATCCAGTTGGATTAATATCCAGTGCTAATGCCACAGTAATTGCTGCACCTAATGCAGTCATAACATCAGAATGATTATGACGTCGAACAGTTACATCTATTCAATGAAAAATGAAATAAATAGAGCAGATAAGCAAACAATATGAAGTAAATAATTACGTACTATATATTGTATCAGTAGTATTAGGTTAATCAGTTAACTGATTATTTTTATACATGAAATGTAACACAAGTTTTGCTAGCCAATAAAATTCAGGAAAATCAAATGTATACCTCAAATAAGGAGAGATTGTTTAGGTTTAGGTTGAGCTTGATCGATTAGTTAGTTTAATGAAGTAGATATACTTTCTGGATTTATTATAAAAATGTATGGTAATTACATATCAATTTACATTGCAACAGAAGTTTAGTCAATCCAAAAATTTCCCAATTAGTAATCTTCCCTTATTATAATGATATTCACTAATACCTTGAAAATAACCATGAGAAATAGAAAAACGAAGCAATGATACAATTCATTTTGAAACCTTGCAGTTTACAACACTAATTGGCTTCAGGGAAGATTGACACTAAAAACTATAGTTCACTGAAGAGTGGCTTCATCTTAGATTTGATCACCGGAAGGATCTCCCTATGCACCACTAGGGAAAAAGTCTTATCTTTAGATGAAAATGATGTCCACTTTTACTCGTTCTAGTCAGAGCCAGATTTTGATATACACTCGAAATTGAATGATATCCACAAACCTGCTCTATTGATATTTCGCAACTCTCACAAAAAGTATAAATTTACGAATAATAATTATTATTTAGACAGATTCCTTGATTTTTTACTACCAGTATATCACTGTTGACAAATTAAAGCACAATTGTTTCTTCAAAAATGTAAACAACTAGAATCATAGTGAAATGTCTGAATTTTGAAGGTTGGATTCGGAGCTTTCCACTATCATACGGAGTTCAATAATGTTAATAAACAACCTTATTATTTTAATAAGCCTGGAAATTAATCCTTTGATTTTCTTTTCAGTATATCTATTTTCGTCTGGAAATATTATTCTGTTTTTCTACTGTTTCCTGTGGAATTGAAAAACGATTGTTGATATTTAAATTATTTTTTTATAAAATCGAACAGTACAATAATATGTTTCGATCGTTATCCTAATATCATTCTGATTTAATATTGTAGTTGAATTACAGTCATTTACTAAAAGTGGATAAATTCTAATATTTAAGGTTATGTTCATGCTTTTTCCGTTGATTGGATCTTGGAAACAATAAAAGTTAACTAATATTAGTTATCCAAACAATTACCAAAATATATTGCACTTCAAGATAATCCAAATGAACGATTAGAGAATGTTACTTTTTCTATAGATATCTACAAATAGTATACTCACAGTTTAGCTTAACCACATATGCGTTTTATTTTTACTGGAGTTTAGGATGAAAAATAACTAACTTTAAAATTATTTATTCTCCTGAATCCTGTCTCTGATAAATAACTTATTCATGCACTTTAATTCTGTAGCTTTTATTTGCATGTTTATCGCCAATTCAAATATTCTATAAGGCTAAATGTTTGATTACTTGAATAAGTCGGGGTAGATTGCAAAGGTTGTGAAATAAATTTCCTGAGTTATTATTATTGTATTTGACGATGATTATGCGAGTTGCTGATTAACTGTGATGAATAACTAATCAGGCAAATATATTTTTAGCAAGTTTATATGCAAGAGTAACAGTTTCAAAGTCAGTGAAATGACTCTTTCTTATGTTAAGAAACTAGTATATGCTACTAGCCGTTTTTCTTGGAGTAACTAGATAATATTTTATCCTATCAAGAAATATATGTAACGCTCTGTGCTGAATTTCAAATAACAATTGTAAACTTTATATATATATATATATATATATATATATATATATATATATATATATATATATATATATATATATATATATATATATATATATATATAATTACGGCTAAATTCTTGTTTTACGATATTCTGATTGAGTAAACCTATACAAACATCAATGTTGAGGTTGTATAGAGTTGAAATAAAGTGATGTATTAACTTATTACCGGCATATTGGGTGAAAAAATAATAATGATAAAATTGGTCAAACCTACTCAAAATGTCAGCTAAACTTTGCATAAGAATGTCACTATTGGACATTCCACCATCAACAATAATTTCAGTGGGTTTTTTTAATGCCATTAATGGAACTATTGAATTGCATTTATTATTGGCTTTAGCTAAAGTAGCCACAAAGAGAACATCATATGTTTGATAAACTGATGATCTTAAGCCAGCATAAACAAGATCAGATTTATCAACATTCGCTGTGATTCCACAAATGACACAACGTGCACTTTCTTGCCACCATGGACAGAAAAGACCACTAAATGCTGGAACCAAATAACATGGATCTGGTTCATTAAATCTTTGTTTTCTGTATACTGAAGAAGACAATTTCTCACATTCTGCTTCATCTTTAAATACGTCCAGTTTTGTCTTTAACCATCTCATTGTAGCCCCAGCAAATGATATAGCACCCTAATTAAGTAGGAAAGAAATTGTCAAAACTTTCACTCACTCAACATAATGAGCGATAATAAAGAAAACGGATTCCCTATTCATGGTATATGTTTCAAAAAGCATTTTCGATCAATTAGGTTTCTCATGATTAAAATTAATGATGTAAAAATGAGAGTATTGTATTAAGCTCTGATCTGATAGGTTTAAAAAGAACATTCATTATTTTAATCATCACATCATTTTAAAGTTTTATTAAGTAAGTATTACTGAAAGTATTCAATAAAACAGACAACACTCGAAATTCAACATAAAATCTTAGTGAATCTACACTCTTAATGTTTCAAGCAGTGTGGTTTATGTGAAGGAATAAATTTAAGGAGCGTTCATTAAAGCAAATTTAATGCTACTTAACATTTGTAAGCAATACTGAAGTTGAAATATAGTACTTAAATTAAATGAGTAATCCTTAACATTGGATGAATCCTTATTCAAAATCAGTTAACACATTAGACACTGAATAACTATGAGACTATGATTAACTGTTCTAAAATTTAATCTTATGCTTTATTAAGCCGAATAGTTTAATTGATAAGTTTTCATTATCACTAGAGATAATATCAGAACCTAACATGAACAAAAGTGAGTAAGTAGCATTGTTGTCACACAGAATAAAAATCAAATCTTTATAATTAAACAATTAAGTTAAGAGAATGCAATTCCATTAAATGTCAAAACATGAACAACAAATTATTATGACATTTAGAAATCCAAATTTTTTAATACTTCTCAACTGGAGCGCCATAAAAATTAGAATATAACTTTTGATAATGCAATGAGAAGACGAAATTTATCAGAATTATGTGATATATTAGCGCAATACCTTTCGAACAATCTGATCACACACAATATACTTCTTAAGAACATTTATATATAAAAATTCCTTTGTTATGGCTTACCTTTAACCTGTCTAGTTGACCTTTTAATTTTTATATATAACTGTTCTGAAGAAGTATATTGTGTGTGATCAGATTGTTCGAAAGGTATTGCGCTAATATATCACATAGTTCTGATAAATTTCGTCTTCTTATTGCATTATCGAAATTTATCATAGAAACTAATTGTTTTGGAATCTAACTCTCAAGCACCGTTTATCATTTAAACAAATAGTTTTATGTGTAATTTGGTTAAAACAAACAAAGTGATAGAATATATTCAGCAGAAATTATTGAATGAAATAATGAATTTGATGGAAAACTATTTTTACAAATGAATTATGATGTTTAATTACTTAAGGGCTCAATAAAAAAAAGCATTTCTTCGATTTTATAATCAATAACTTTCCGAATTAAATATGCACGACATGAACTTATTACTCATTGATAATATTGAATGATAGTTAAACTATATAACAGAATAACTGTAATCGATAAGTGAAATGTCTGTATTCCCACACAGTAACCTAATCATAATTCTACTCATAGAGATACCAAAATATCTCTGGGTTCGATCGTGTTTGTGATTGTCAGTAGTTAGTTCTAAAACGTTTTGAAATCTAGATGAAATAGCTGCTTATAACTCACTTATTTTCTACAGTTATTTAGGTAATTCTTATTTATGATGAAAATGATCAGCATTTACTATGCTCAGACAAGTTATTGAGTAATGTTGATTCCTACCTACAAGCCACAATGGACAGAATTTTCGTAAAAAAATATAATTTGTATATATCTTGTTATAACTTGTAACCTGTGTGCCCTGTAACGATACCGCCTATCAGAGAGCAGTGAATTATCGATTGGACCAATGACGCATAAAACCCGTGAGAGCAGTCTAGAGTCCTGATTGGCCCCGCTTCCCGCCTAGCCCAGTCAATTAAGTCCACAACACAAATCTCAGCCTCTGAAATATGCATCATTTATTTCAAACATACTCTGTTTATATACCAAGCAGACAGATCACACTGTACCAATAAAATATGAAACAAAATTTGCACAAGATTTGGCCAAATGTGGCTGTGAATGTGGGAGGTAGTAATTAATAGAAAGGGCATAGTTCAAGAATGGTAAATCGTATAATAATAGTTCATAGGTCAAAATAAGGCTCATAATAAGAGGGACATGAATATGAATAGTTTAGTTAATTAACAATTATACGATGGACATATACGCCTGGTATTGGTCCATAAATTGATCCCAAAAATTACCATTCATTATGCTTATCGAGGCATAACATATCTCTACAATGAAAACCTTTACAGAAAGATTTCCGATTCAAATTTGATTGATACTAATAATTATGAAAACAGTATTATCCAAGTGTCAGTGGAAATGAAGAAAAAAAATTGTTGTATTTATTATTCGGAGTCAATACAATGCAGAATTTTTTACTGTTATCTATTTAATAAAAAATACTAAGATGAATAAGAGACTATTTCTTGTGCAATCAATTGACAAATTCCAGAAAAATAAAATTCCCAAAACAGAAACCCCGCCTGAATGACTGAATATACAAACTAAAACCATTATTTATCTAACAGTATAGAAATGTGGAGATTGTTGAGCTTTATTGAAATCACGGACCGAACAACATTAAATTTGAAAACCTGAGAGCAGTAGGCAGCCGATTTATCCTAGTATGAGACCCCTCAATAACGCGTACTTACAACCCTGCACGCGAGATTAAACCCAGGACCTTGGGTCTTGCGCGCGTGATAGTGGATGCAAACTGTCGACGAGTACCAGTCTAGCATAAAATGGTCGTCCAGTACTTCTAGGCTTTCGATGTTGCTCTAACATTAATCGGTTAGTTATTTTAGTATTTGTTGCGTAATAATCAAGCAAAATTAAATATCTGCAATTTACCGCTTAGTTAACAAACGAATAGTTATAAAGGAGGCAAAAAGGCAACAGCACAATCAGTGACCATCTTAGTTCAATTAGTATGTGATTTTATTGATTTTCTATAATCACCCACTAGTAAGATTTGTCTATATAGTAGTACACGTAGGTGGATTTTTCTAAATACATATTTTTTTCAGTAGTTGAGAGCATGAGTCAATTGAAGCTAAAACACCATGGAAAATCTGGAAGCACTGAACGACCGTTTCGTCCTATTGAGGGACTCCTCATCAGTGAGCATCCACGACCCCATCCCGCGGGGTTCGAACCCAGGACCCATCAATCCTGCGCCAGGCGCTTAACCAACTAGATCACAGAGCCGGCATCCAATCGTGTTATTGTCTAACTTCAACTAATCCATGAAATTGAGCGACACATTCACTATTGTCATCAGTGAGTTATTATCTTACAACTGACCCGGTTGAACTCCACTGGTCACTGCTTCTCACTAAAACTCCAGGATATACCTATTGAAGCCAGTCACTAACGAGCATATGTTGATTAGTATCAGTAGGGTTTTTGTGGAGATTTTAGTAATTTCAATAGTTGAGATCATGAGTCAATTGAAGCTAGACCACCATGGGAAACCTGGAATATTTTTTTGTTAAGAAATTTTATTGAAAATTGACATCATCTTGAGAATCGAAAACCAATGAACAGTAATGCTTTTACATTGCTTCATAATCAACAAACATATTCTAATTTGATTTTAAACACAGGACCATTAGATGTCGTGATGAGCCCAATATCACTGAACTAATGACCATAGATATTATGTTGACAATAAACTTTTCTGAGATGTGACGAAACATCAACGGTGTTCAGATAATCATTAACCGTCAGACTAACAGAAAAAGAATCCTAAGAATTCAACCCATAATGACACCTTTAGTTATTTAAAGGTTGCTCTAGACAACATCTATTGAAGTTAGGAATGATGATCGATTGAGATAGTCAAAAGTTCGGGTTTCTGTGTTGTATGTGGTCGTGAGTATACAATGCTTGAGGTGTGTAGTAGCTAAACGAAACAGATGTCTAGTTCTCCAAATGTGACTACAAACAATCATGTAATAAAATAAGCAAAAATCCTAAAAATATATTTATTTCAACAAAAATGGTTGTAATTTGGTCATTCATTTCATCTCGGATCAGCATGGATCAGATGCACTGAATTTATACTCATACAATCCAAAAGAAAACAACTTACTAACGAATTATCACTTACCGAAAAATGTTCCTAATATCGTTTGTTCTACAAATTAACGAAATTAGTATAATTAAGGTGACCATAACTACTTATCATTTTATTGTAAACCTACCTCTAAAGCATAATATGGTTTTCCTTTTGAACCCATTTTATAAGCCATTGTTGTTAGAACACCTTTATCTGAAAAATATGGCTGACAGCCAATATTCCATAGCATAAATGCTCCAGTTCCATACGTTACTTTAACCCTAGATATATCTAGTAGATTATTTTCTTCTACAGAACTGGACAGTCCCCATGTTTGTGCAACAAGTGATGCTTGTTGATCACCTAATATCCCATAAATAGGAATGCTTTTCATTAGACATTTTGAATCTTGAATAACACCGATTAATTCAGATGACGTTACTATTTTTGGAAGTGTACGAGGATTAATATTAAAAAATCTGTAATTAAATGAACAAAATAAACATAAGTGTAGTCATTTTCCAACTGACGTAAGGAATTTTACGAAAACGACTGAATTTTATATATTTAAATTAAGAATCGATTTTAGGAAACTATTGGGGATCAGGAAGCATCAAATAGTCAATTCGTCCCAGTGTAGAGCTTTTCATAGATGTGTATCCATGACCCTACCACGAATTGAATGCAGGACCTTCGATATCCCAGTGAGCCTTAAATCTGTAGACCAATAAGCCAGTATCCAATGATGTACATCTCTAAATTCAATTGATTTGAAACTATCTTCGATTACCTGTTGTGAACAGCTGTCTTACAACGGACATGGCTGAAATAACATCGTGATAAACTTTGCACTAGAACTTAAGGAATTGCCAGTTCAGTTATCTAGAACTTAAAAGCTCACCGCGAAACCAAAGGTCCTACATTTAAATCCCAGTGGGGGTCATGGATGTATGCTGATGAGAAGCTCTATACCAGAAGGAAATGAATGTCCAATGCTTCCAGATTTCAAATAGTTTCCTAAGATCAATCGTTAATTTGAATATGAAAAACATTTAACAATCATAAACGGTCATACGTTGTGTTATATCCCAATAAGAATAGTGAATGGTAATTTTTGGGATCCATTTATGGACCGATATTACGAGTATATTTTTATCATATAATTGTTACGCAACTAATCTGTTCATATCCATGTCCCTCTTATTATGAGTTTTATTTTGACCTATGAACTATTATTATACGATTTACCATTCTTGAGTTATGCCCCATCTATTGATTCCTATCTCCCTCATTCACAGCCACACCTGGCTAATTCTTGTACAAAAGTTGTTAATTGGTACGTTGTGGTCTGTTTGATTGATATATAAACAGAGTATGTTTGAAATATAATGATTCATATCACCGAGGTTGAGATTTGTGTTCTGGAATCAACTGGCTGGACTAGACAGGGAAGTATGACCAATCAGTACTTAAGGCTGCTCGCTCGTATTTTATGCGTCACTGTTTCAATCGATAATTCGCTGCTGCTCTCTAATAGGCGGATCACAAGATATAACACGTTGGTTTAATGCGCTATGAACTATATATATATAGTGTACAATTCTTAGAATAAGATACCACATAACTCTTTAGGCCTAAGCACATACATGAGTATAGTAGCAACCAATGAAACCTAGTTTAAATCAAGTTTTCTAAAAAACAAATAAAATCACAATTATATTGCCTGTCGATGTGAAATCTAGGTGCAAAACAGTGTGCTATTAAATGTTAAGAAAACTAGTGACCTATTAATTATTTTGAAAGTGAACTGATTTGTGCAAGTATATAATTCGTCAAATAATTATGTATGAATAATATATACATTGAATAATTATTATTTGCTAAACTAAATTTGAGGATGTAATTAGTAAATTACTCGACATTAGGACCGAAGGCCTCAAGTTCAAACGCTAATCTATCATAGTACTCAACTCAAAAAATATCATAAGAATAACTTTTAGCTTAATATTTCAAATGAGTGGTTACATTATGAACAGTAAAAAGTATCTTACGCTTACTGGCATAGATCATGATCCCACTCCAATGTATTCAAATTAAATAGTAGTGTACGGCTTGCATTCGTTACATCAGTAACATGGCACATCTGACTAGTTAGTTTCCATATCAGCCATGAATCAACTGTGCCAAATAATAATTTATTTTCTTTATCTGCTTCAACCACTGACTTTACATTATTTAATAACCAATTCATTTTTAAAGCTGAGAAATAACTATGTATCGGTAAACCTGTAATATGCTAGAGAAGGAAATGGAAAAGTATACATGTATTTCTATAGATTTTCAAATTAAATTATTATTATTATCATAAAACAGGCAGATTGTGGTTGACTGCGGAATTCAAGATTCACGTTTTGACCAATCTGAGACTCATCAGTTAGATGTACTACAATCTCATTGTTGATATTCACACTGATAATAGTTTTGAGTTCAAATGTGAACATCAACACTATACTCATTTACCTTCTAGTTTTATTATCAATTTACAGCTCAGAGAATCTTTCAAGAAAAATGAAACATATAAGTTTTGCAATTATGACAATATCTTCGTGTTGAAGTTGAAGATATTTTGAAATCATTGCAAGTAACCAATAAACAATATATTTCAACTATTATAAAAATGAAACTATATAAAATTGGAATCTGTTCTTTTAATAGCGAAATTCATCATTTCCAGTGTTACAGACAATAATGAGCAATTACAACCAAAGTTATTATTATTGGCTTTATTCAATATTATGTTTTTGGTACAGTATAGAATTTTCAGCACTAAGTATTTCAACAAGTTTCTTCCCTGACGAAAAATATTAAGTGATCACCAGTTAGATGTTAATAATTTAGGAATCAACATCTGGATGCATATTACCAGACGCCACGATGTCTGTGATTGTATTTATTTTGTAACTTGTACAACGAAAGGTCGTAAAGTTTTCATAAATGCGTTTGGATAGGTTATACGATTAGAAGACATAATGAGTGAAAACAAACAAAAGCAAATAACTTGTTGAAATATGTAAATGACATGAACAGGTAGCCCAAATATTTAAACAGGTCGCCAATCATAATGAGATAATTTTGAAATTTCAGCTTTTATCAATATTCCACAGTAAGTATATTAACAAAACAATAGTTTATAATGTATCCGAAGTGGTTTTGTGGAGATTGTAGCCTCGCGCGCGAGACTGACAGGTCCTGGGCTCGAATCCCGCGAGGTGGGATCGTGGATACTCACTGCTGAGAAGTCCCACAATAGGACGAGACGGCCGTTCAGTGCTTCCAGGTTTTCCATGGTGGTCTATCTTCAAATGACTCATGGTTTTAACTATTAAATTTTATAATGTGCTTCAAAATATTATACTTTTTTAGTAACATACATAAATTTGATTTTAAAAACAAGTTAATCAATTAATCTCCAAATAAAATAAATGAATCTAAAATATGACTATATAAACGTTTAACAGATATAAGTTTAGAATTACAACGATTTAATGAATTCAAGCCATATGGTGAATTTACGATTGTTGTGTAAGAAAGAACAAACAGAATATTAAGTAATCAAAAGAGTATGCCTTAATCACTTGTTTATTTTGATAATTCGAATCATTAAGTTGTTATAAATTACAATTTTTATAAATCTAATATGATGTCATAAAATCACTGTTAACTTAAACATACTACTTATGTTTATTTCTATTGTTAATTAAATAAAATATTTTATGAAGAAATTTCTCAATGATATATGGTTTAGAAATTTCATATGACGAACTGATTTTGCTTACTTAATCAATAAAAACCCCAGGATGCATTGCACAGCTATTTCGTCTCATTTTGAAATGTTTCAATAGTGATCATTTACGTTATTCCGTGATACGGTTTGATTAATTTCTACTTTTAATAAAACAACTTTAATTGTATTGTTTAGTCATTTATTGAATAATGTATGAGAATAATAGATTATTTACAAGTTTTTAGAATAAACACTTTTGGTGTTTATGAAAGTAATTATATAATATCAGTAGAAGTAAATCAAATTTATTTTACGTCTCTGATATTCTCAAAAAGTTAATTTATACATAAATTTCAGTTTCTATGAGTATTCTTGATTGATTTCATGTGGTTTTCTCGTCACAAAAGATTGAAGGATGCAATAGTTGGTTAATTTGATTCTTTTTAGGATAAATATCTGATGAAAACCAAACCCTCTAACGTTTTACTACCTTACTTATTTCTGATTTATAACTACTGAATTAACTGTTTTTACTTTCGCTTGACACAGTGAATATGTGAACTATTTCAGAGTAGTATTTTGAGAGAAAAAAGACACCGGTTTGTTAGGGCTTGAAAATTTCTATTCGATATCACGTACTATATCGCTAGTCTGACTAGTGCCCAAGTTCACGAGTTTTACACATTGATGATAGCACAAAAACCAAAGCCTTAACGTCTAATTGCTTCTCGAGCTCATTTCTAACCTAGCAGTTAATCAGAAGACGGTGATAGGAAACAGATTAGCCCTCTATTGTACTCGATTTCGATCATGATTAAAAAGTAACACAATAATATACTGAAAATACCTAATAACACAACACCTCAAATAAGAGATTGCACTTTAAGCCCAATCACACCATTAGTGGTAGGCGGTAGAACAAACAGTTTTTAATCAATTGGCAGTAATTAAGGGATAGTTAAATGCATAACAATAGTTAATAAACCCATTGGAAGTTTACAATAAGGGCGATATAGGAACATAGCTATCTAAATAATAATTCGAAAAATGGCACCAAGAGTTTAAACTTTCTCAATATTCGTTATGTTACAACATTCAGGTACTTGATTTTAGGCTAAACTCTTCCATTGAGCACTGTGATTTTGTTTGTTATCACTACTTCAGTTGATTTGTGTAGATGTTATCAATGGAGAACCTAGTCATGGAATAATTTACTCTGGATCACTGAAATCAATACAATTATGGTTTAAACTAGAAAGAAACATAAATGACCTTAAATTTTGATTCAAAAAATGTCAAAAAACCCATGGCAATCCAACATTTATTCAAACAACAAGCCTCACATTAACAAACGATGAATGTTAGCATATAAATCTTCGAAGATGAAGGATTTTTGTTTTAGCAAAATCCATCAAATAAATCCTATAATAATTTAAAAGAAAACGTAGAACAAACAAATTCAGTTAGAATCTAGTTTAATCTGTAGCGTGCAAAAGAGATCGTGATAATCCAAATAAAAATTTGAAATATCAACGCACAGACACGTTATAATCACAAATATTTAAGACAGATTAAGCTTCAAAGCAAAGGTCGGAGGTCATTTAAATAATTACTCAAGCCGGAGAACTAAATGTAAGGTAATAGATGGAAACACTAACGATTAGTCCAATAGCAACATGTATTAAGTTTGATTAAATAAACCAAACTGTAATAGTCTATTTTTCACTAAATTTTCATTAAGAAAAGCTAATAAAATTGCTTACAGTCCACGTTCATAAGTGTTGATGCTAGAATTCATACTTACTATATTCGTCACGATTTCATTTAAACATAATAAGTAGGTATATATAGTGAAGTCTTCGCTGAGGAAAAAACTAATATACAACACGGCAACGAAAAACTATAACTGTTAATACTAATGTTGAAGAGTTTTAAATAAATAAATAAATGAAACACAATGATGATGTGTGACAGTGTCATTATTTTACAGTAACTATTCAGGTACATCCAGCTGACGAGTCCCATATAGGACGAAACGTGAATCCTGAATTCCACTGTTAGCCACCGTAATCTCTATAATCTTTATGATTTAATGGGAATATCGAGGCAAAGTGCACAGGACTTCCATATATACCACAAAAGACTGAGGAATTACAATCCTAAAACGAAGAAAATTATAAAAGGTCACTGATTAATTTATTTTATTCTCCATTCGTCATTTACTTTGTGATAAGTAATTCATACGTTCCTACATAAACGAACGTTCTAATTCTTTAGTACATCTTCAATTAATCAGTCAGTGATGTTATATCATATGTTCATCACAATCTGATGTTAGTTTATCAACATTCAATATTGTACATTCATTAAATAATAGTTTAGAAAGTTTACATGAAAGAATGTTATAGAAAAAAGTTTGATTTCGAAGCAAAAGTCCAGAATCATTCAAACAAGAGCTTATCGATCGTTTAAAAGAACAAACTGATCAATGTAGTGTATTAGTAGTCTAATAGATAAGTTTACCTGTTCAACTAAATGGATAATTAAAGTAGATCTCTCTGAGAATATCAATATTGAAGTATAAGTGTATTTATAACTGACGAGTCACGAACACGATGAAGGTTGTTTCTTGAATTTCACCATCAGTCGATATGTAAAAAAAATTATTTAAAACAAATCAAATTGTAAAATATGTTTAATTTTTATTTATCTACCTGAAAAGCATTCGATTTATTACCAGGCGCCATTTGTGTAAATTTTATAACATCGTCAGCAGTTCTTGCGTCAGACCATACAATAGCTGGAGCTAATGGTTCCCCTGTTTCACTATTCCATGCAACAGTTGTTTCACGTTGATTTGTAATCCCAACACCAACAATATCCTGAAAATTGAGGATAGAAACGATTTGTTGCCTTATACATTGCTTTATAAAGTTTCTCCGTGTTGTAATTTATTGATTTAAATATGTAGAAAGAGATTTATAAATAACTATTTTAAAATATAATCAACTAAACATTCTAGGAAATATTTTTCTGTAATATACAGGTGGCCTGAAATTTTTCCTTTAATGATAAATGTTGATCAAGTGTAAGACAATATATTAAAAAATATTGTATCATATACTCATTCATACGTTCCATTTATATTCACTTTTTAACTGTATGGTCGAATTGAATCGAGGTCAGGCAAAGGCTAAACGAGTGGAAGCGAATAATTGACAAGATCAAAAGTGATTCAAGAAGAATGAATATATTGGTCTGTCTCGAAACTAGAATAACCTATATGAGCTCAACATAGGACTAGCCGCTACAACTGTACAATGAAAATAATAATAATACAGCTTTAATTTTGGTATAATATACCCAAGCTCCCAATTTCGGGGAAGTCGCCATAGTAAACTTTGGGGAAATGGCACCAAAACCCCAAAATTTCTCCAGATCTGGAGAAATTCCCCAATATTTTCCCAAAAATCCCCCTTTAACCTTGGTGAAGGTCACCAGACTTTGGGGATTCCCCCAAACTTGGGAGACTGTGATATGTTATCATGAGATAGCTTAAACTACTCTTCTGATATATTTTATTTCCATTCATTTGTTAAATAATATATTTAAATATCAATATTCATTCTTTCCTAATTTATTTCAAAGTGTATCTCATCAATTCTAATGTGTACGTTGTTTTATAATGTTTATCAGACTATACAGTAACGTATAATAAAACAAAATACATTTATTAAAGTGAATAAATTAATTTCCATTAACTGTTAGAGAGAATTTATGTACGATATTTTTATTTTGTTAAAAGATTACACATTAACATTGAATAAAGAACCTATAAATATTAGTGAATGATGAACATATATAGATAATATCAAGTAGGTGAATAGATATAACCAATAAAATATGATTATTTGTTTCTATGAGTTGAATTTTTTGTAAAGAAAACAAAATAAAATAAAACTTTATGATAGATTTTATAGGCAGTAAAAACTGTTGAATATAAGTATCATAGTAATTACTATGAGAGACATCATCTACAGTGTATAATAATAATTATTATTATTGTTATTATTTGACTAGTTCAGTTATTTAATTTCTATTTTGTAATATAGTTTATTGATGTGAACAGAGAAACAAGAAGCTATTTTGCGGGACGTTATTTTATTTAATTCAGAGCTTGTAAAACATTAACATTTATTTTTGTCCCTAGTCTATTCTACAGAACATAAGCTTTCGTTTGATGTATGGTTCACTGACATTTCCCTTTTTGCTCCAAAGCTATTGTAATTTAAAGGTATTATTTTGTACTCTATTTTATACACTACTATCACTAAACTAATTCATCATAAAATCAGAAATTATTTATAAAAATTTGATTGAAAATAACATCTTAAGGATATAATTATTAGTGCTTAGTATTTTATAAAATAATATACCTGTTCAAATGTACGGAGAAATCAATTTAATAGCTTTGATTTCACTGATATTTACACTTTCTAATATATGGGCCAATGAAGATTGTTGAATTTCGTAGCATTTATGTCTCGGATGAACTTCAATGAAATTACAAAATTCAATGACTTCCACAACCTCCTAAACTAAAACTTCATCTGTTGCCTACTAATAACTAACTTTGAAAAGTAATCTAAGAAATTCTAGTGAAATCCCGTAATCAGTGAAGCGGGAAATATTATCTAGACTACAGTAATCAATGATGGACGCCGTGATTCGTTCGCTATCATTTCTGCTCGATTACATCACTATATTTAACCATTTTTAGAATATTAAAGAGTTCTTTCGTTAATCAACATCACACAAACACAAAATACAGATCATAGCACTAGATATTTGAAACGTATTAGTCAATTTCGGTCAGTCAGTCAGTCATACCCAATGTACGGCCAATTAACCGATAAAATGTATAATACACATAGGCACACGTAGAAATGGAATTTATTCCAGAAATAAAACATATGGTTAGATAAAACGGCGCAATCAATCAGTTTTTGAACTAATAAATTACCACAATATCGATTTTCCTCTGTAGATTTTTTATAAATTTTGTTCAGAGAATACGAAAGCAGGGTAGTTATTCTTTAATGAACTAAATTGCATACTTTTAATGAGTAAGTTCAGTGCATTCTATCATAGTCCCAATTGTGAGCTTACATTTGACTTACTAAGCGATTATTCAGTGTTATGTTGAGTTCGCCTTAGTTATATATCTGACAAATCACAAATATTGTTATAATCTGGTATTTATACTGTATAATCACGTGATTTATGTGTCAAATAATAATAAATCATAATTGTAACCACATTTTATTTTCTACTGTTCATGAAAGTGGAAATCTGGATGGACCATCGATCGTATTCCAAAAACTGGAACAACCGTAATTGGTACATTTATTCTTTGTCCTATAGGAATTATAACAAATAACATATGATTGAAATTTCTGATTTAAAAAGTCTAAAAATAACATCCTGTTCCATTAATACAAATAAGGCACCCAATAATAAGACATTTTCATCATGCAATTTTTTAAGCATTCACCAGTATTATTCTGTATTCATTATAGAGAGAATATATTAATTTTCTATCTAACATCAACATTGAACACCTGGTTTTTAATGTTGTTCTAACTTAGGTCGGTTCATGATTTCGGTGAAATTTTTTATGTTGTGAATATATTGATAGTTTGAGGATGTCGACAGGAAAACATAGTTTCCAGTTGTTACTTTGCATAAATACTTACTTGCTTACGCCTGTTACCCCTCATGGATGAGCATAGACCGCTCACCAGCATTCTGCATCCGCCCGACCGTTGATGCTAACTTGATGTAGTGGTCGGGCTTGCCTATCGTGATGAACCAATCAAGCCATACTGGATGAAACAATAGTTACTCAAGGTCCGAGGGCGAAGTCGCACTGCTGACTGTACAGAGATGTGACGGCATTGAGATATTTCCCTCAGACAACCAGCATGACAGCAATGCTGCCTTGCTACAAAGAAAGGGTGAGGTTAGAAAAGGTCGACCCTAAAAACGCACACCTCACCTTATCTCACGGATTTCCGTCTTCGGCGGTTAAGTCTAAACAAGTACGGAGCTAACACGAAAATTACTCACAAAAAGGTTGTGTGTGACTGGCCTCAAGCAGTTGTCCCTTGGGCACTGCGGTTACGCGCTCTGGTAACTCAGTCTAACTCTAACCCAATTATATTTCCAGGTACCTCTAGAAGAACTCTTCCACGGTGTGGGTAACCGAGAAGTGATAACCGTCCTCATACTCCTAAGAGCACTCATAATCAATCTCCCTCTTCAATCCCTGTTATTCCTATTTACATCGACTTCCAACTCTAAACTTCCTCTTTCGACTTCTTCCTTAAGTCTCACCATGATCAATGATTCTGGTGCACGAAAAACTGTCCCAGGTCTAATGAAACCTTGATTCAAACTACACATTAGAGCCTTCAACGTACGCACCCTATGTCCAATCGACCAACAGGCACCCTTGGCTAAAACCCCAGAATCTCGTGCCATTGACATATGCTGTGTCTCCGAAACACCCATACGGAATCCTAGCGTGGTCATTCACTTAACCTCACCTCTCCAAAAAAGAGAGCTGACGAGATACACCCTCCGCGTATCTGGAGACTCGATGGCTGGTTCTCGTGGATTGGTAGGTGTAGACATAGCACTACGTACGAGGACAGAACAAGCGCTATTATAATGGATCCCCGTTAACAGTTGCCTATGTGCTGTTCGGCTAAACGGCTCTGTAGAAACTCGGAAGGACAGGGACACACGTCGTCGTTTCTGCCTACGCTCCCACTGACTGCAGCCCGGATGGAGCGAAAGATGACTTTTACAGAACATTTTCTAAACTTCATCATAAAGCTAAACACCCAGACAATAATTATGTATGATATATCCAGGTTCCATCAATTAACCATATTCATAAATATACATTGTTAGATGAAAATGCCGAAAAAAAGTGGAAAATATTATCAACTTTTCTATTTTTAAAGACTGACATCCTCTTGAAATATATACTTTTCATAAAGCAAAATGTTTATTTACTGCTAACAAGGAGGTAGAATAAACATTTTCTCCATTTCTTAATTAATTATAAGAATTTTCTTGATTTCAATTTTGTACCCTTTACCAATAAACATTAGAGCATATCCTTATTCTCGATTAAATCGAGGTTAGCTTAAATCACGAATTGATATCAGCTGGAGAACTATTTAATAAAGATTAAGTACAGAGCAATTGTCACATAATAATTCAGGTCTCCTTCGCAACTAAGATCATAATCCAAAAGTACAAAGCCAAGACATTTAGCCATCCCGATAGCCCAGATTTACGTTGGACTACTGAGCGAGCACCTAGTGACCACTTTTAAGCTTCGGTAAGCTCCTTTAATTTGTGATCGCAATTCAGTGAACTGTAGCTTTATTGATTTTATACATCGAGAAAAAGATACTAGATAAGATCTCATGTAAAGTCAAAGTTTTGTGCTAATGAGTTTGAAAACGATGAAATAGCTTTGGTTTTCAACGCCAATCCAGTTAGTCCGGGTATGTAATTACATTTATCATCAGACGTTAATAAAATCTTCTAAGTTAGTGAAATGAGACACATTTAGTTGACTGAAGTATTACAATGCTGATAAAGTATAATACTTTATTACATTTCACCTCATTCTATGACTGATTCTTATACATACATCAGCAGTGTTGTTACACAACAGTCATGTCAATAGTCCACAAACTACGTTTAAGCTACAGTATTTAACAACAAGTATTTTGGTGTCTGAACAAGTATTAGTTTAACCTCAGATGACAAGCCGTTTTTAAATATTAGCATAGATTATCACGAAAACAAAATACAGAGATTTTATTCAACGGAAACCTAAAATATAATGCCTTTAATTGTTTATTAACATCAAGTGTAATAATTGATTAACTCTATGTACTGCTAAGACACTCGGACTACACTAATAAGTTTAGTTAAATATCATATATAGAATAGATTGAAGCATATTAACAAATTATATAAATTCTAACATACACTTACTTTAATACTTTTACCTACTAAGTTTAATTGTTCCACACATTTATTTAAACATTCTAGAATTGTTGTATAAATCTGATTAGCATCCATTTCAATCCACCCAGGTGACGGATAACTTTGTGTTACACTTATTTGATGCATAGCTATTATACTTCCATTGTTGATTGAAAATATAATCACTCTTGAACTACTTGTACCTTGATCAATAGCAGCTATAAATTTCTCATTTGCATTATTATCAGTTGTCATTGCGTAAAGTTTGTAGATAATTTCATTAATAAATTCGAATTCTGTAAAAAATTAATTGGACATTTAGACATTATAGTGTTTATGAATAATGTGAACGAATAAAAAGGTAAAAAGTGAATAACATATTACATCAGTAAATGTAGTACAAGAGATATAGGATTTAATATATTTTATAATATTATTAGGAGTATGACAAAAATTCTCAGGATTCTATTGGTTATTTTTCAATGTGACATGAAAACAAAATCTCTTAAAGTTTTGAAATTCTCTAAAGAAAGAATATGTTTGACAAATAAGAAAGCAGAAGACAATGAATAATATATATATACCTTGTTTTGCTTTCATCTTTTTTCGGTTTTATGCAAAAAAA